GGGTGACATTTTTTGTGTACAGGTGGTATTTGGTAGGTACAGATGACATTTGTCATGTGCAGGTGACAAGTGACATGTGCAGGTGACATTTCATATGTACAGGTGATGTTTGACAGGTACAGGTGACATGTGATGTGCAGGTGACATTTGTCATGTACAAGTGACATCTGTCATGTGTAGGTGACATGTGACATGTACAGGTGACATTTGGCGTGTACAGGTGGTATTTGACATGTACAGGTGACGTTTGACATGTACAGGTGACATGGGATGTGCAGGTGACAAGTGACATGCACAGGTGACGTTTGACATGTGCAGGTGATGTTTGACATGTGTAGGTGACATGGGACGTGTGCAAGTGACATCTGTCATGTGGGGGTGACATGGGACGTGTGCAGGTGACATTTGGTGTGTACAGGTGATGTTTGACATGTACAGGTGACATTTGATATGTATAGGTGACATTTGGCATGTATGGGTGACATGTGACATGTGCAGGTGACATTTGGCGTGTACAGGTGACATGTGATGTGTACAGGTGTCATGGGACATGTGCAGGTGTCATGGGATGTATGTAGGTGACATTTGACATGTACAGGTGACATGTGACATGTACAGGTGACAAGTGACCTGCACAGGTGATGTCTGATGTGTACAGGTGACAAGTGACATGTACAGGTGACAAGTGACCTGCACAGGTGATGTCTGATGTGTACAGGTGACAGTTGACATGTACAGGTGACATTTGGTGTGTACAGGTGACATTTGACATGTACAGGTGACAAGTGACACGTACAGGTGACATGTGACATGTACAGGTGTCATGCGACATGTACAGGTGACAAGTGACATGTACAGGTGACATTTGGAGTGTACAGGTGAGATTTAATATGTACAGGTGTCATGGGACATGTACAGGTGACAAGTGACACGTACAGGTGGCATTTAATGTGTTCAGGTGACAAGTGACATGTGCAGGTGACATTTGGCGTGTACAGGTGACGTGATGTGTACAGGTGTCATGGGACATGTGCAGGTGTCATGGGACATGTACAGGTGACATTTGACATGTACAGGTGACATTTGACATGTACAGGTGACAAGTGACCTGCACAGGTGACATCTGATGTGTACAGGTGACAAGTGACATGTACAGGTGACATCTGATGTGTACAGGTGACAATTGACATTTACAGGTGACAAATGACATGTACAGGTGACAAGTGACCTGCACAGGTGACATCTGATATGTACAGGTGACAATTGACATTTACAGGTGATGTGTGAACTGCACAGGTGACATGTGACACCTACAGGTGACTTTCGACACCTACAGGTGACATTTGACCTGTACAGGTGACAAGTAACCTGTACAGGTGATGTGTGACGTGTACAGGTGACAAATGGTGGTACTGGTGACAAGTGACACGAACAGGTGACAGGTGACCTGTACAGCTGATGTGTGACGCGTACAGGTGACAAATGGTGGTACTGGCGACATGTACAGGTGACAATTGACATGTACAGGTGACATGTACAGGTGACATGTACAGGTGACGTGTCACATGCCGTGTGACGTGTGACACGTGACGTGTGACGTGGCCCGGGGATGAAGGGACCCGAAATAGCAGGGTGGGGGCAAGAGGGGAGGGGATTAGGGCGGGGCCTGACCCGGAGCCAGGGGGACAAGGGGGGCGGGGCCACCCAGGGCAGGTGACACCCAGGGCAGGTGACACCCAGGGAGGGTGACACGGGGTGGGGGTGACACTGGGGATGGGGGTGGCACTGGGTGTGGGGGGTGACACCAAAGTGAGGGTGACACCAAAGTGAGGGTGACACGATGTGAGGGTGACCCAGGGCGAGGATGACAGGGGGTGCAGGTGACACTGGGGGTGACACAGGGTGAGGGTGACACAGCTGGGGGGTCCCACAGGTGAGGGTGTCCCCCTGCTTGTCCCCCCATTGGTCCCCCCCTTGTCCCTTCCCTGTCCCCCCCATTGTCCCCTCCTTGTCCCCCCCATTGTCCCCCCTATGTCCCCAGCTTGTCCCCCCTTCTTTGTCCCCCCTTTTGTCCCCTTCCTGTCCCCCATTTGTCCCCTGCAATGTCACCTCCCTGTCCCCCATTGTCCCCTCACATCCCTCCACTGTCCCCTCTTGAACCCCCATTTGTCCCTCCCCAGTGTCCCCTTGTCCCCCATTGTCCCCCCCCTTGTCCCCTCAATGTCCCCTCCCTGTCCCCCCTTGTCCCCCATTTGTCCCCTCCTGTCCCCCCTCCTGTCCCCCCTTGTCCCCCCTTGTCCCCTCCCTGTCCCCTCCCTGTGCCCCCCTTGTCACCTCCCTGTCCCCTCCCTGTCCCCCTTGTCCCTCCCTGTCCCCCTCCCTGTCCCCCCTTGTCCCCTCCCTGTCCCCCCTCCCCCGTTCCCGCACGTGGCCCCGTTGGGAGTGGGGGTTGTTTTAGGAAAGGGGGATTATCAGTTTTAACCCCCGGGGATTAGTTGAAGCCGTGGGGATGATGGGAAGGAGGAGGGGAGGAGGCTGGGCTGGCTCATTATTCCCCTCCCCCCTTCCCTTCCCTTCCCTTCTGGGGAACCGGGATTGGGACACCCCCATGGCAGGGACACCCCCAGCGACCCCCAGGGACCCCCTCAGTGACCACTGACCCCCTTCAGGCCAGTGACCCCCAGTGACCTCCCAGTGACCCCCCATGGAGCAGTAACCCCCCAGGCCACCCTCCCCACCACCCCTGACCCCCTGTTTGTCCCCCCAGGTGACCCCCCACCGTGTCCAGCCATGGTGACACCGTTGGACCCCCCCGGACCCCCCCGGCCCTGAGGGACCCCCCAGCTCGGGCCCAGCACAGCCTGGACATGAGGGGACACCGAGGGGACAGCGGTGGCACCGCCCACGGTGGCACCGACACCTCCCATGGTGACATCAACACTGCCCATGGTGACATCAACACCGCCCATGGTGACATCAACACTGCCCATGGTGGCATCGACACCTCCCACGGTGACACCGACACTGCCCACGGTGACATCGACACCGCCCGTGGTGACATCGACACCACCCACGGTGGTATCTGCAGTGGTGGCACCTCCCACAGTGACATCTCCCATGGTGACATTTGTCTCAGGGACATTTCCTATGGTGGTGGCACCTCCCATGGTGACATCTCCCTTGGTGACATCTCCAATGGTGACATCTCCAACAGTGGCATCTCCACTGGTGACATTTTCCTCAGGGACACTTCCCACGGTGGTGGCACCTCCAATGGTGTCACCTTCCTGAGTGGTGACACCTCCCATGGTGACATCTCCAATGGTGACATCTCCAGTGGCAACACCTCCAACAGTGGCATCTCCAGTGGTGACATTTTCCTCAGGGACACTTCCCATGGTGGTGACACCTCCCACGGTGAGATCTCCCTTGGTGACATCTCCAACGGTGACATCTCCAGTGGTGGCACCTCCCTCGACAGTGATATTTCGCTTGGTGACATCTCCAATGGTGACATTTTCCTCAGGGACATTTCCCACAGTGGTGTCACCTCCCATGGTGACATCTCCCACGGTGACATCTCCACTGGTGACATTTGCCTCAGGGACACTTCCCACGCTGGTGGCACCTCCCAGAGAGTGACCTCCCATGGTGACACCTCCAATGGTGTCACTTCCCATGGTGACATCTTCAATGGTGACATCTCCAATGGTGACATTTTCCTCAGGGACACTTCCCACGGTGGTGACACCACCCACAGTGTGACCTCCCACAGTGACACCTCCCACAATGGTGACATCTCCAACAATGACATCTCCAACGGTGACATCCTCAATGGTGTCACCTCCCTCAATGATGGCATCTCCAGCGGTGACATTCGCCTCAGGGACACTTCCCACGGCGGTGGCACCTCCCAGAGAGTGACCTCCCATGGTGACATCTGCAATGGTGACACCTCCCACAGTGGTGGCATCTCCAATGGTGACATCTCCAATGGTGACATTTGTCTCAGGGACATTTCCCACGGCGGTGGCACCTCCCACGGTGACATCTCCAATGGTGACATCCTCAATGGTGTCACCTCCAGTGGTGTCACCTCCTCAATGGTGACATCTCCAATGGTGACATTCGTCTCAGGGACATTTCCCATGGTGGTGGCACCTCCCACAGCGTGACCTCCCATGGTGACACCTCCCATGGTGACATCTCCCTTGGTGACATCTCACTTGGTGACATCTCCCTTGGTGAGATCTCCCTTGGTGACATCTCCAGTGGTGACACCTCCAACAGTGGCATCTCCAGTGGTGACATTTTCCTCAGGGACACTTCCCACGGTGGTGGCACCTCCCGTGGTGTCAGCCTCCATGGTGCCTCCACGGTGGCATCTCCAATGGTGACATCTCCCGTGGTGTCACCTCCCACAGTGACACCTCCCACAGTGGTGACATCTCCCACGGTGACATTTCCAACAGTGACATCCCTCACAGTGACAGCTCCAATGATAACATCTCCAACGGTGGCACCTCCAGTGGTGGCACGTCCCACGGTGGCATTTCCCACGGTGGTGAAACCTCCCATGATGACATCTCCTATGGCATCATCTCCCACGGTGGTGACATCTCGCCTGGTGACATCCCCAACGGTGACATCTCCCACAGTCACATCTCCAGTGGTGACATTTGCCTCAGGGACACTTCCCACGGTGGTGGCACCTCCCATGGTGACAGCTCCAATGGTGACACCTCCCACAGTGGTGGCATCTTCAATGGTGACATCTCCAATGGTGACATCTCCAATGGTGTCACCTCCCATGGTGACATCTCCAATGGTGACATTTCCCACGGTGGTGGCACCTCCAATGGTGACGCCTCCTTCAACTTCGGTGTCACCTCCTACAGTGTCACCTCCCGTGGTGTCACCTCCCTCATGGGCACCTCCAACAGTGACACCTCCCATGATGGTGACATCTCCTGCTTCGGTGTCACCTCTCACGGTGTCACCCCCCATGGTGATGTCATCACCCCCCTTGGTGTCACCTCCCACGGTGTCACCCCCCACGGTGATGTCATCACCTCCCACAGTGTCACCTCCCACGCTGCCACCTCCCATGATGGCACCTCCTATGATGGTGACACCTCCTGCTTTGGTGTCACCACCTCCCACGGTGTCATCACCTCCCTTGGTGTCACCCCCCACAGTGTCACCTCCCACGGTGTCACCCCCCACAGCGACATCCCCACCCCCCACAACGACGTCACCTCTCCCTCCCTCTCCCCTGCCCCCTCCTCCCCTCCTCCTCCTCTCCCACCACCCTCGGTGGCCCTCCCTCCCTCCTCCCTCCCCTCCCTGCCCTGCCTCTCCTTCCCCTCCCCTCCTCCTCCTCCTCCTCCTCCTCCTCCTGCTCCCCCCTCTGTCCCCTCCCCCCGCGGTGGCCGCCACCTTCAAGGTGGGCGTGCTGGGCCCCTGGGGGTGCGACCCCGTTCTGGCTCGGGCTCTGCCGGAGGTGGCGGCCCGCCTGGCCGTGGGGCGGCTCAACCGCGACCCCACCCTGCGTGGGGGTTACTGGTGGGACGCGGCGGTGCTGCCCGAGCCCTGCTCCACGCCGCGCGCCGTGGCGGGGCTGCCCAACGTGGAGCGCTACGCCTCGGGGGTCGTGGGACCCCTGAACGCGGCGGCCTGCGGGGCGGCGGGGCTGCTGGCGGCCGCGTGGAACAAGCCGCTGGCCGCGTGGGCGTGCGGGGACGGGGACGGCGGGGGGGCGAGGCCACCCCCACGGTGGTGCGGCCGCTTCCCCCCGCGGCGGGGGTGCTGCACGCCGTGCTGCGCCACTTCAGGTGGGCGCACGTGGCCGTGGTGGCCGCCCCGCAGGACCTGTGGGTGGAGGCGGCCCACGAGCTGGCGAGGGAGCTGCGGGCCAGGGGGTTGCCCGTCACCATGGCCGGCAGCGCCGGGGACAGCGAGGAGGAGGCGGAGAAGGCGCTCAGGAGGGTGAAGAGGGCGGATGGAGTGAGGGGTGAGAGGGTAGGGGGAGAGGGAGGGGGAGGAGAGAGGGAGATGGGGATGGAGGGAGGAGAGAGGGAGAGGGAGGAGAAAGGGAGATGGGGATGGAGGGAGGAGAGAGGGAGATGGGGATGGAGGAGGGTGAAGAGGGCGGATGGAGTGAGGGGTGAGAGCCTAGGGGGAGAGGGGGAGGATGAGGGAGAGGGAGAGGGAGGAGAGAGGGAGATGGGGATGGAGGGGGGTGAAGAGGGCGGATGGAGTGGGGGTGAGAGCCTGAGGGGAGAGGGGAGGATGAGGAGAGAGGAGAGGGAGGAGAGAGGGAGATGGGGATGGAGGAGGGTGAAGAGGGCTGATGGAGTGAGGGGTGAGAGGCTAGGGGAGAGGGAGGGGGAGCATGAGGGAGAGGGAGGTGGTGGAGGTGGGAGATGGAGGTGGAGGAGGAGGTGGAGAAGGTGCTGAGGAGGCTGAAGAGGGCGGATGGAGTGAGGGTGAGAGCCTGGGGGGAGAGGGAGGGAGGAGAGAGGGGAGGGAGAGGAGATGAGGATGGAGGAGGAGAGAGGGAGAGGAGAGGAGAGAGGAGATGGGAGGTGGGAGATGGGGATGGAGGAGGGTGAAGAGGGCGGATGGAGTGAGGGTGAGAGATCCGGAGAGAGGGGAGGATGAGGAGAGAGGGGGTGGAGGTGGGAGATGGGGGAGGAGGAGGCGGAGAAAGCACTGAGGAGGGTGAAGAGGGCGGATGGAGTGAGGGGTGAGAGGGTAGGGGAGAGGGAGGGGGAGGATGAGGGAGGGAGATGGAGATGGGGATGGAGGGAGGAGAGAGGGAGAGGGAGGAGAGAGGGAGAGGGAGGAGAGAGGGAGATGGGGATGGAGGAGGGTGAAGAGGGCAGATGGAGTGAGGGGTGAGAGGCTGGGGGGAGAGGGAGGATGAGGGAGAGGGAGGGACTGGGAGAGGGAGGGAGAGGGAGAGAGAGGGAGATGGGGATGGAGGAGGGTGAGAGGATGGAGGAGGGAGAGAGAGGTGGGGAGAGGAGGGGAGAGGGAGAGGGGAGGAGAGTGGAGGGAGAGGGTGGAGGTGGGAGATGGGGCTGGAGGAGGAGGTGGAGAAGGTGCTGAGGAGGGTGAAGAGGGCAGATGGAGTGAGGGGTGAGAGGCTGGGGGAGAGGGAGGAGGATGAGGAGAGGGAGGGGGTGGAGAGGGGAGATGGGGATGGAGGGAGGAGAGAGGGAGATGGGGAGGAGGGAGAGAGAGGAGATGGGGATGGAGGAGGGTGGAGAGGGCGGAGGGAGTGAGAGTGAGAGATCCGAGAGAGGGGGAGGATGAGGGAGAGGGAGGGTGGAGGTGAGGAGATGAGGGTGGAGGAGGAGGTGGAGAAGGAGCTGAGGAGGCTGAAGAGGCGGATGGAGAGGAGGGAGAGAGGAGGAGATGAGGGAGAGGGAGGAGAGAGGGAGGGACTGGGAGATGGGAGATGGGGATGGAGGGAGGAGAGAGGAAGAGGGAGATGGGAGGTGGGAGATGGGGATGGAGGAGGGTGAAGAGGGCGGATGGAGTGAGGGGTGAGAGGCTAGGGGAGAGGGAGGGGGAGGAGAGAGGGAGAGGGAGGAGAGAGGGA